GTTTTATAACTCCCTGGTTAAGGTCATTTCAAAGGCGAAAGCTGCCAATAAAATATGAGGCATCGTGGGTAAATCAGACGCTCGTCAATATAAATGAAATCGAAGAAACCGACATTGTTCCACCCATTGGACAATTTTTATAGTTATTGAGTGGCGGGAGGTGGGGTCGGTGTTGTTGTTTTTGGGGGTTTTTTAAGTTTGTTTTTTCCCTCAGCACATTTCATGTCCATTAAAAAACACATTCCTTCGTGGATTTTACTGAAAAATGTTGATGAAAGACACAAAAATGTAAATTTGCAATTTTCGAAGACATTGAAGCTTTCGAAGACACCAAACTTTAGCGACCATTTTCTCGTTAATTTTACCTGACACCAGGCTATCCCCACCTCCCTCAATCGCAATATGTCGACTTCTGGCACTTATTTAATATAGATGGGTATTGTTTTCATAAAAAGCAAGACAAACGAATAAGCTTTAAGACTATATCAGTAACTCTATATGCCCCTAAAACGACCAACTCCAGATACCACCGTGTGTGACACACCGTTTTGTATGTCGTCGCGTCACGATTGGTTGGGTTCTCGATCAGACTCGCAATCGTAAGTAAGGTCGTGGGTTCGAATCACGTGAGAGGCCCGACGTTGAGTCCTTGGGAAAGGCATTTTGCTCGAATGTCCCTCACTTCACCCTGGTGGGAACGGATACCCGGCCATAGACAGCAAAAGATCGTGTAGTTTAAAGGCTCATTTCTGAAACCCACCCACCTTTAATCAATTCACCGACACTGGCCGAAGCCCGCGTCCTAAATTATCGAAATTGTGTCGATGGGGGTATAAAATCATCTACATTAAATCAAAGACTAGAGGCACGCACCGTAACATCACTCTAGCAGCTTCGTGAGACAAAACTAGACATTTTTATACCTTTATGGAGTTGGCATTTAGACCGCTAGGGAGCTCAAAAGAATCTGAAACGTTCACTACCCAGCTTAGGACAAAGAGACAAAAAAAAAAAACAAAAACAACATCTGAACCGCTGGATGGAGCAAACAATAACTGCAACATCCGGGAACAGAAGCTTGTTTATGGTAGTAGGGATCCTAAAATTGTCACCTCTCGAAGACAAGGCAATAAAAATAAAAGGGCCTAATATATCTAATTGAGTACGTTAGTTGGATTGTGTTGTCTATTGTAAAGAAGCTGGTGGCGTGGTCCTCAGACTTGTTAGAGTCACGGTTATGTTTCATAGAATATTCATCCATCCATCCATCCATCCATTCATCCACTCGTCCATCCATCCATCCATCCATCCATCCTTCCATCCATCCATCCATCCACCCACCCATTGTCCATGCATCCGTCGGTCCTCCCGCCC